TTTTCGAGCACACCCTATCTTTCCCACTCGTTTACAGTTTCGTTCGGCAGAAATACGTCCAATTATAGACGTTCAATGAGAAAGATTCGTAGAGTTGAAGAAATTTAGCGAGGATGAGCCCAAACATGGCCCTCATCGATGGTTCCCCTCCTTTCATGTTCGACTATGTAAAACAGGCTCCCCTCATTTCATGTTCGGCAATACAGCAGTAAGAGCAGCTGCGCAGAATGTGCTCGATCGCCCAATCCGTGGATCTTGGGTGGACGGTGACGGTGGTGTACTGCTCACAACTGGGTGTACTGGGGGCAGGCGCAGTATAGGCAAAATGCACGACGAATCGGGTGTATAACGGTGTAGCGTTTGAAGTATTCCTACGGTGTTGAAGGCGCTACATCAAGGCACGCTTCGCCTTTCCGATACTGCCGCGCAAAGGAAAAACGCCGTATGAACCTTCAGGCGTTGCCAAATTTCCATCCATAAAACACGAATTTTCTGGTAAACTTATGAGCATTTTTCTTCCGATTATTCATAGAATTTTGTTCGCAATTTCAGCAAAAATTCCTGAAAATTTCAAGGAAAAATATTCGCGAACTGATTGCGGTGGACGTGCGGGTCGAAAGAGAGTAGGTTGGAGTTTTTTCTTTAGAGCTTTTTCCCTCTGTATCGAGATTTTCAGCTTTATGCTGAAGTTTGACCGCACTTTGGCAAAAAACTCCGACATACTGAAAAATATTCATTACTTTCCTCGATGATAAACATTTTATCGAAGGCAATTTGGCAACTCTCGAATGTTCATACGGCGTTCTTCCTCGGCACGGCAGCATAAGTCTATAATTCCGTTCAGCAGAAACAGAAACAAATCACGATCAAGATTCTATGAAAAATCGAAAGGAGACCACCTGGAAATTTTCCCGAAAATTCGTGATTTGTCAAAGGAAATTTGGCAGCCTCGGAGGGCTCATACGGCGTTTTTCCTGAGGACGGCAGAACTCGTCTTGTATGCTGCCGTGGTAAAGAAAAACTTCATTAGAACATCCTAGAATTGCCAAATTTCCCTTGATAAAACATGTATTTTTGACAACATTCAGGCATATTTTTCCTTGAGATTTGCTGATATTTTAGATGAAATTGCGAGCAAAATTGTCTGACAATGGACCACTAGACAAGGTACGAATTTCAGCATTCTGATACATGATTCTCAATCAAAATTTCACGTAGAACACGATACGCACAACGAAAATTGCCAAAATCAACTCCTGACGAAGATATTTAATGATTCTTGATGCGTGAATTCAAACCACCCGCTCATGAAAACTCAATGCTCTACGTGATTCACATCGCGCGCTAAATGTTTATCATGACAGTCTCTGCGATGTAAAAATTTTCAACTTCAATCTTGACACTTTGGCTCAGCTATAGCAAATTACCAATAGTTTGAACAACACATGGTGGGAAATGAACATTGCTCGATTGAGAAGCTTGCTGAAACCGTTGTAGTGCGCGATTTGACTCACGTAGAGCTTTGAGTTTCTTGTGAGCGGGCAGTTCAAATTCCTCGTAATCAGTGCGAAATAAAAACGTTAATATCTTCGTTAGAAGTTGATTTCGGTAATTTTCATAGTGTGAATCGTGTTCTACGTGAAATTCTGGTTAAGAAACATGTATCAGATTGCTTAAATTCATACCTTGTCTAGTGGTCCATTGTGGAAAATAATAATCACAATTTTCTCAGTAAATTCGGTTTTTATAGGAGGAAACTTGGCAACGTCTGAAGGCTCATAAGGCGTTATTCGTCGCCTGGAATGGCCCATTGATAAGGCTGCTCGTAGTAGCGCGTAACGGAGCCGTGGCCTCGACTCTGAGCCGCCGCGACATTGACAACGTCGACGCCGCAGTTGCCAGATTTCCTGAATCCATCGTTGATTCATACGTAAGATGGAGGGTTTTGGGGGAGATTTGGCAAGGCGGGCGGCGGGTTCTCATGAATGAACGCAACGTGACGCGCTCGAACGGAGCGCATGCGCCCTGCTCCACTCCACTCGACAGCCGGTCCTGCCCGGTCCTGGACCTCCATTCACGGATGCGAGTGTAAACGGGTTCGCGTTTCAGCTGGGGCCGGTCAGCAGGCGGTTTTCGGAATGCGAGCTTTCGAGCTTTCCCACGTTGCCAGGTCACGGAAAAAATTAGATTGCTGATTTAACAATTTAATTGCTAAAAAAAAGTGACTGCAATTTTTCAACGTAGATTTTACAACCAAAAAATGCTAATTAGGCCACAGAGGTGGTTAAAGTAGCATTTTTTGGTTGTAAAATCTACGTTGAAACATTGCAGTCACTTTTTTCAGCGATTGAATTGTTCAATCAGCAATTTAATTTTTTCCGGGTTAAGAAAAAAGGTTCTGTTGAGTATCGGACTGACAAGTTTTCTAGGATTTCAAAATTACCCGAGTTTTCACCGAGTTTCATTACCCGAGGGTTTTACGACGTAGAATCTCTACCTTTTCCATATTTTTTGCAATGATTTTTCGTAAAAATTATCTTCACAAAAAAATCTGAGCGTCAAGTCTTTTGGAAGTTAGAAAATGCAATGTTCCAGCCGAAAGAAATAAATTTCAAGGTTTAGCAGCGAAATTCCGTGATTTTTTCACCATTTTCTTGTATTTCAAGATTCACGAACTGTTTAAGGTTTTTCGACATGAAATCCTGGCCTTTTCTATGTTTTCTTGACGTGATTTCTCATAAATATTCTGTGCACTAAAAATTTTGAGCGCAAGGCCGCTTGGAAGTTCGAAAATGCTATGCTCTGGCTGAAAGAAAAAATTTTAAGCGCTAAATTTTCAGCAGCTAAATTCCCTGACTTTTCACCACTTTTCAGGGTTGTACAAAGAGAATTTATAGAAATTCTTTCCACACAAAAAGCGACAAGCCTCTTGAGAATTGAAAAATTCAATGTTTTGGCTGGACGAGAACCTGCAAGGGTTCCGCAGTAAAATTCCCTAAATCTATACAACTTTTCACGGTTGGACAAAATGTCTCAAGTTTTCCCTGACTTCTAAAGAATGTGTCACCCTGTGTCAATTTCTATGGAAGGAATAAGAAGAAGGATTGGACGACTGTTGTGTGTGGACCAGACAAAATGTAAAGTGAGTCAAATGATATCTTGCACTTTATATGGATGTTCTTGAGCTATCAAAGATTCTTAGTTCACTCCTCCCTACCATAGGTCAATGGCAGCTTATTTTTGGGATTTTGTTTTGAGCTCAAAAATCGACTAACGGGCCTCTTGAAAACTAGAAAGTGTCTCAAAAATCACTATTAGCGCATCAGCAAAGTCTGAAATGCACTCCTTACTTCACAATTTGCATAAGAAATGTGCATCTTTTCGAGCTTCCCACCTTGAAAACGATACCACAGCACAGGTGAACATTTTGTTGGAGGAGTCATTCCATCCTACCCCTGCTCACAACCATACTACGCAATATTTAACAAAGCCGACGCAATCCACCAGAACACATGTGACAAGGGCGATTATTCAAGTCACCTGATAACAATCTGCGTATTTACATTCACATTTTTCTTGCGTTGATAGATATCCACCTTGATTGACCTCGTGCTCTCCTCAACTTGCGCGCTGAAGCGTCCGCCATGTTGAGCAGGGATTGAATGGAACGACTCCTCCAACGAAATGTTCACCTGTGCCGTAGTATCCTTTTGGACGCAGGAAGCTTAAAAAAACGCAGATTTCTTACACAGATTGTGAAGTTAGGAGTGCATTTCAGAGTTTGCCGATGCGCTCATCATGATTTTTGAGACATTATCTGTAAAGAACAACTCTTATTTTTGCTCTAGCAAAAGTTTGCAACAGGCCTATTGCCAGGAAGATTGCTTGATGGATTGCACTCAGTTATTCGAATGCAAATTTAAATGCACTTTAAATTAAACAATAGTTAATTCTAATCATGGGGGATTGTCAGCAGGATTTTATTTGACTAAGGGTTTAAAACAGGGATGCTGTGTGTCGCCAACATTATTTAAAATATATCTCGAGTGCGTGCTAAAAGAATGGAAAAGGAAATGTTCTGGTATGGGTGTCCCCTTGAGTGATTTTGAAACTCTATTCACACTTTGCTTTGCTGATGACCAGGTGGTGGTTAAGATGGTCAAGATCAAGATGACAAGTTAGTAAAGGAGTATCGAAAGTGGAGTTTGGAAGTCAGTATATCCAAATCTGAGAGGATGACCTTGGGAGGTGATCATCAAAGAATTGAGTTGGAGGATGGGCAGCAGATTAAAGGCTGTGGCGATTATAAATACTTGGGAGTGCGGTTGACCCTGGATGGAAGGACGGAACAAGCTATCAAGGAAAGAAATACCTTAGCAAAGAAGGCTATAGCGATGTTAAATGGAATCCTCTGGGATCCGCAGATTTTCAAAGAGAACAAGAGGAGAATTTACAATGCTACAGTCAAAAGTATGTCGGCATATGAATGTGAAGTTTGGCAGCTGAAGAAACGGACACAGGATATGCTAAAAGCAACGGAGATAGATTTCTGGAGGAGGTCAGCAGGAATTTCAAGGAGAGAGCGGGTCCGTAATGATTGAGTGCGTCAGATAATGGAAGTCAAAAATGACATCCAATTCAACGTCATGACCAAACAGCTTCTGCGGTGCGGTCATGTCAATAAGATGACGGAAGAGAGGCTGCCAAAAAAGATGCTTGATTGGGTTCCTCAGAGGAGGAGGAGACGAAGGGAACGCCCAGTGAAAGGGTGGCGACAGGGAGTTTTGGATGAGATGAGGGAGTGTCTACTCCCTGATGACTTGTGGGAGGACCGAGTTTTGTGGCGGCGACGTGTCGCAGAGCACCAGAGAACGCTGTAAGAGCAACTCTTATGTATGTATGTAATTCTAATCGCAGTGGTTGTGGAATTTAAATGTATCACAATAAAATGTGTCGTGCAAAGGTTCAGCGGTGATGTGCAAAATTGAGGGGGCTCTTACCTGACTCAAGCCAACACGATATGAGGAAGCATCGAGATCAATGCCGAACAGGATTTCCTCAATTGATGTTTTTGTATCAGTTGGTGTTGGTGTAGACGCTTCAGTTGAGTTAGAACTTGAAGCCAGCAGACCGAATCTGCGAATGAATTCCGTAAGCTGCATACACTCTGGGAAACCTTGTTTGTAAAGGCGCACAGCCGGTAAAACCTCTGCACCACGGATCTGGTAAAATTTAAGAAAAGAGAAGAGACGTATAAATCAGACTAAATTGATAAAAAAAAAATGAGGTTCAAAGTAGCTGGGAAGATAATCAGATCTTTCAACAAGAAAAATAAGACAATTAAAATTTTGCAGGGAAATGTTTTACCCATTAACAGCAATTTGTTTGTAAAATATAATGTGAGTTACGAGTAGTTTGCATTTCTCTTTGAATTAAAAATTAAGTGGTTGCTGCACCAGTTAAGTTCATTGATCGATGCAAAAGTTGCCAATACTCATCTCAGCGCATAAGACACCAAATGCTCACACAAAATGACTTCTCCATATTTATAAGATGAACAGGGCCTCTCAAAACACATGCAATTCTGACAAATTTTTTAAAAGAACACGAGTATTTAAAATTTTATATTTCATCACTTTTTGTGAAAGGTACAATGCCTTGATAACCCTTGAAACCCTTGATATACACCCAGTATTCTAGATATTTTACGATAGTCCAAAGAAAAGAAAGAAAAAAAAAATTCAGAAAATTCGTTACATAGTTTCCTTTTCGAGATTTAAAAAATTATCACCAAAGATTTTGAGATATGAAAATCAAGAAGTGCTCTTCCTGCGAGTAGCACCTCAATTGAAATATCGTATGATTTTAGCGATGGCTAAATACTGATGAAATTTTAAATCAATAAATTCAAGAATCGTCTGCAAATGATCATCTGGTGCAGCGTAAATTTTTTTTATCTTAGATGGAAGCTCTAACAAAATCAACAACCTTTGCATTCAAAAGTAAGTTCTGTTAAATATTAACTACGGATTTAGAATTTCAAGCTCTGAGAGATTAATTGACTACTTGCATAAGTATTTGATAAACCTGATTAGATTATTGCCCTTCGGCTTGTATCAATGGTGAAACTGCAGAAATACGTATCTCGGATCATGGCATTGCAGACTTCTGGTCATGCTTCACTTTCTACATGAAAAGCTATGAACCATAATTTTTTTGAAACTTCGCTGATTTTTTTTCTCTGTGCAAGGAATACTTTATGAAAATTTTAAGTCATGATGCTAGTTCAGTCTCCTTTTAAAGATAGGAGCAGATATTTTGAAACACAGCAACAGAAATACACATTTTTGCAGTCTCGCCTTTAATATCCAGCTCATAGGAAATAATAGATACAGATGGTTGTCAAAAGCAACTAAAATCAAATGTATTCATTGAAAATCTGAAAGCTAACTCACCTGTGACCGCAGAAGAGGGACGTTAATTGTAGAATCGAAGTACTCTTTTGTTCCGTCTACAGCTGCAACATTGTGCTGGGCTAGCAAACAATGAACGAACTTCACTTTACTCCTTCGCAATGTTTCAATTAGACCATCCTGAAATGTTGCAAAGATCAGCATGGTGAATTCAGTGACAAATATGTACCTTGATTCCATTTTATGATTACAACTACATACTAAAAAATAGCAGCTCTTTATATAATAAACCATTTGACAACAATTTTACTAATAATAATAGCGTTCATGATAGTGTATATGACTGCACTTTTAATACCTCTGATGGGTGAACTTCCAATCAGACATAAAATGGAAAAAATTAACCTTGTGATAGCATCCAACCTTATTCACTCCATTTTCATCAAGTTTTCAGGGCTTGAATATNCGAAAAATGGGTCAGTTGGAGACCCTCTATGGTTGATTGAATCAATTTGGCAATTTCACTACTTTAGTTAGTCCACCCGAGATCGGAGATATGTACCCAACATGATTGGAGCACATCAATTCTTACATATTTTTACACGTGGAATCGTTCTATAACCTCGAAGAGATGATATATCGATCAGTTGTGTTGAATTTTTGAGATTTTTTGCGGAAAATTGATGGTTTATCAGGATTGAGATCGGTGTTTCTCCATCCAAGATAGAAGAAATGTACCCTTCATGATTGGAGCATATTGATTCTTACGTATTTCTGCACGTAGAATCAATTTTAAACGTCGACGGGTCGATATATTGATCTGACATATAAAACTCTTGCGATTTTTTACGGATACTCGATGGTTCTTTTGGATTGACATGGGAGAAATCTACCAGACATGACTGGAGCACATCGATTCTTTCGTGATTATTCTTGCAAAATCAATTTTTGAGGTCGACAAGTCGATATATTGACTGGTCATATTGACTTCTTGCGATTTTATGGAAAATCGATTTTTTTGATCAGGAGTGAAATCGGTTACTTAAGGTCCGCGGGTGGAGATATGTTCCTAACATGGTCGGAGCACGCCGATTTCCACGTACTTATACACGTAGAATCATTTTTAAGGTTGACGAGTCGGTTTGGCGATCTGACAAATCAGTTTTTTGTGACTTACGGAAATCCTATGGTTTCTTGAAGTTGAAATATTTTTTGATTTTAATCAAAATAGGAATGAAGGAATGCACCCGACACAACTACATTTTCTGTTAATCTGGCAGAACCAAATTTATTGACACCAGAGTGAATGAGTGAATGAATGGCTTCACTTAAAATGATTTAAGAAGAGACAAATACATACCTATGTAAAACCTTCATTCCTGACCAAAAAAATCGATTTTCCATAAAATCGCAAGAAGTCAATATGACCAGTCAATATATCGACTCGTCGACCTCAAAAATTGATTTTGCAAAAATAATAACGAAAGAATCGATGTGCTCCAGTCATGTCTGGTAGATTTCTCCCATGTCAATCCAAAAGAACCATCGAGTATCCGTAAAAAATCGCAAGAGTTTTATATGTCAGATCGATATATCGACCCGTCAACGTTTAAAATTGATTCTACAAAAAACCTAAAGAAATACGTAAGAATCGATATGCTTCAATCATGAAGGGTACATTTCTCCTATCTCGGATGGAAAAACACTGATCGCAATCCCGATAAACCATCGATTTTCCGCAAAAAATCACAAAAATTCAACACAACTGATCGATATATCATCTCTTCAAGGTTATAAAACGATTCCACGTGTAAAAATACGTAAGAATTGATGTGCTCCAATCAAGTTGGGTACATATCTCCAATCTCGGATGGAGCAAATCCGATTTTAATTCCGAAAGGTCATCAATTTCCCATTAAAAATCGCAAAAATTCGATACAAACGATAGATTAATCGACTCGTCAACGTAAAAAATCAAGGCTCCATGTCAAAATACCTAGGGTTCGGTGTGCTTCAGTCATTTTAAGTGCATTTATTCATTCATGAATCGAAAATAAACAATTTTGATCCTGTAAAATCATCAATTTTCCTTTAAAAATCGTTCAAAATCGATTTAACTGATCAGCATATCGATTCGGCAACATTAAAAATCGATTCTACGTATAAAAACACGTAGGAATTGATGTGCCACACATGCGTAAACAACGATAAGAACCCCGGCGATACATCAATTCTACAAGAAAACAGCAAAAAATCAGGCCAGATTTTGACCCCTTTGCCCCCCTGTAACTCGAAAATGGTTCCTACACTCATCTCGAAATTTATTCCTGAGTTTTCTGTTTATATAAGCTTCCATTTAAACCTTAGTCCGATGGTCGAATCGAATACCTAAAAAGAGGACAAATTTTAGGAGGCTTTTTCCCAGAAGGAATTGCATTTTCACCAGGAGAATCTTAGGAAATTGTAGCTGAAAACTTCACCAGATTTTCTGCACACCTTGTACAAAAATCAGAAAAATTTGTAATGAAAATTACAGAGGTATATTCTTGTAAAAAATTGGATTGTTTCAGTCAATTTTGCAACCTTAGATTAAAGTTACTTTCTTTTATTTGGCTAATGGCAAAATGATACAAAGAGAAAGAGAAACCTACCACTGCAAATTTAACTTGAAGAGCGACTGATTTTCGTTTGATGGCAGCAGCTGAACTGCTTGTGAAGGTTCTTCTGATACTGGATGCACGGCGTAAGGACTGGGTGCCGTCTATGCCAGCCAAAGAGCCCCCGAGTGNTGATGGGACGAGATAACACTTGAACAGGATTAAACCATATAACAATCGGCGTGTTTACGTTCATATTTTCCTTGCCCGCCTTAATTGACCTTGAACTCTCCTCGAATTACGCGAGGAACTGCGCAAGCGTCGGCCATGATGAATATTGCCGACGATGGAGCGACTCCTCTAACAAAATGTTCACCTGTGCAGTAGTATCGTTTTTGAAGCGGGAAGCTCAAAATAACGCAAATTTCTTACGCAGATTGTGGATTTATGAGTGCATTTCAGACTTTGCCGATGCGCTCATCGTGATTTTTGAGGCATTATCTATAGGAAACAACTCTTCATTCTGCTCTAGCAAAAGTTTGCAACAGGCCCATTGATGACCTTTTGGAATTGAAATCGGGTTTGCTCCATCCAAGATCGGAGATATGTACCCAACATGATTGGAGCACACCAATTCCTACGTATTTTTACACGTGGAATCGTTCTATAACCTTCAAGAGATGATATATCGATCAGTTGTGTTGAATTTTTGCGATTTTTGGCGGAAAATCGATGGTTTATCGGGATTGAGATCGGTGTTTTTCCACCCGAGATAGGAGAAATGTACCCTTCATGATTGGAGCATATCGATTCTTACGTATTTCTACACGTAGAATCAATTTTAAACGTCGACGAGTCGATATATCAATCTGACATGTAAAACTCTTGCGATTTTTTACGGATACTCGATGGTTCTTTTGGATTGACATAGGAGGAATCTACCAGACATGACTGGAGCACATCGATTCTTTCGTGATTATTCTTGCAAAATCACTTTTTGAGGTCGACGAGTCGATATATTGACTGGTCATATTGACTTCTTGCGATTTTATGGAAAATCGATTTTTTTGGTCAGGAATGAAGGTTTTACATAGGTATGTGTTTGTCTCTTCTTAAATCATTTTAAGTGAAGCCATTCATTCACTCATTCACTCTGATGTCAATGGATTTGGTTCTGCCAGATTAACAGAAAATGTAGTCGTGTCGGGTGCATTCCTTCATTCCCATTTTGATTAAAATCAAAAAATATTTCAACTTCAAGAAACCATTGGATTTCCGTAAATCACAAAAAATTGATTTGTCAGATCGTTAAACCGACTCGTCAACCTTAAAAATGATTCGTGTATAAGTACGGGGAAATCGGCGTGCTCCGACCATGTTAGGAACATATCTCCACCCTCGGACCTTAAGTAACCGATTTCACTCCTGATCAAAAAAATCGATTTTCCACAAAATCGCAAGAAGTCAATATGACCAGTCAATACATCGACTCGTCGACCTCAAAACGTGATTTTGCAAGAATAATCACGAAAGAATCGATGTGCTCCAGTCATGTCTGGTAGATTCCTCCCATGTCAATCCAAAAGAACCATCAAGTATCCGTAAAAAATCGCAAGAGTTTTACATGTCAGATTGATATATCGACTCGTCGACGTTTAAAATTGATTCTACGTGTAGAAATACGTAAGAATCGATATGCTCCAATCATGAAGGGTACATTTCTCCTATCTCGGGTGGAAAAACACCGATCTCAATCCCGATAAACCATCGATTTTCCGCCAAAAATCGCAAAAATTCAACACAACTGATCGATATATCATCTCTTGAAGGTTATAGAACGATTCCACGTGTAAAAATACGTAGGAATTGGTGTGCTCCAATCATGTTGGGTACATATCTCCGATCTTGGATGGAGCAAACCCGATTTCAATTCCAAAAGGTCATCAATTTCCCATTTAAAATTGCAAAAATTCGATACAAACGATAGATAAATCGACTCGTCAACGTTAAAAATCAAGGCTCCGTGTCAAAATACCTAGGGTTCGGTGTGCTTCAGTTTTTTTAGGTGCATTTTTTCATTCATGAATGGAAAATAAACAATTTCGATCCTGAAAAATCATCAATTTTCCTTTAAAAATCGTTCAAAATCGATTTAACTGATCAGTATATCGATTCGGCAACATTAAAAATCGATTCAACATATAAAAACATGTAGGAATTAATGTGCCACACATGCGTAAACAACGATAAGAACCCCGGCAATACATCAATTCTACAAGAAAACAGCAAAAAATCAGGCCGGATTTTGACCCCTTTGCCCCCCTGTAACTCGAAAACGGTTCCTACACTCATCTTGAAATTTATTCCTGAGTTTTCTGTTAATATAAGCTTTCATTTAAACCTTGGTCCGATGGTCAAATCGAATACCTAAAAAGAGGCCAAATTTTGGGAGGCTCTTTCCCAGAAGGAATTGCATTTTCACCAGGAGAATCTTAGGAAATTGTAGCTGAAAACTTCACCAAATTTTCTACACACCTTGTACAAAAATCAGAAAAACTTGTGATGAAAATTACGGAGGTATATTCTTGTAAAAAATTGGATTATTTCAGTCAATTTTGCAACCTTAGATTAAAGTTACTTTCTTTTATTTGGCTAAAGGCAAATTGACACAAAGAGAAAGAGAAACCTACCACTGCAAATTTAACTTGAAGAGCGACTGATTTTCGTTTGATGGCAGCAGCTGAACTGCTTGTGAAGGTTCTTCTGATACTGGATGCACGGCGTAAGGACTGGGTGCCGTCCATGCCAGCCAAAGAGCCCCCGAGTGTACTTGAAATGTTTGCGCTTCGGCTCATGGTAAAAACAGTTGCCATATCATTACTGAAATTAATGGAAAAATCTCAATAAAAGTTATTACCCAACAAAAATTTGAAATCTTATGCAAAAATTCTACATCTTGGTGTCTAGAATTCTCAATTAATTTTCATTTCCTGCTATTTTTGTGATACTTGAAGGCAAAGTCTTGATGAAATAAAACATTTCTGCTCCATTTCTTCCATATTTACTAAAGAAAAAATAAATTCTTAAAACTCACGGGTAACCCTCAAGCCATGAATTAACATGAACTATCCAACTTAAGGGCAATAATATGATCTCAGGGCAAAAAAACATATTTCGTATCTTTAAGATGATTTCTTTGATTTTCCTGAATGCAAAGTTGTGCCACAATGGTACGATGATAAATATGAATTCATAAAATTCAGAGGAGAATGTTAACTATCGGTGTTAATTTCAGAGTATAATATGTCGCCTTGTTAGTCAGGTTTTTAATTCAACATAAACGAGAAAAAACATTTAAATCATCAAAAAAGTATTTTTTGGAATAGAAAAAAATCAATTTGGATAAATTTTTATGAAATACTAACTGTTTGTTTGGGATAAAAAATGAAGATAATTTTATTCATTTTTGCCTGAATTTTGAAAACTTAACATTCCTTGAAATGACATTGACATTTCCTCACTTCTTCTTGCGAAAGGTAAAAGTTTGAGGACTAAGAAAACCAAACAAGAAAATAAATACATACTGCGTAGATTCTAGAAGTAAGGCAACTGCTGCTTTGGTTGAAGGATGCTCACGAGCCAACTTGGTCCAGTTTTCCGTGTTGTACAGAACAGGGTTGGTTCCTTGGCAGTGCTGGATCAATAAGTGATGATTTCCAGCAGCTTTGTTGATCAGCGTTTGGTGCTCTGAAATCAGCAAACAGGGACGTGATGTAATATTGGACAAAACAATTCATGACGGTTAAAAATCTGGTGGGTGAATACTTGGGTAAAATTAAAGAGAAACGGTTGTAGGGCATTTCATCAACGATTTTTTGTCTGCGCATCTGTTGGTTCCGTCAGTTTACATCCACACGTTCTTTAGGCAGTGGAGTTTTGGTCCGCGTACCACTTGAGACCCAAAGTTCATTAGACTACATGTAAATACAAACAACAATTGCTCATAACGTTTTTGGATAAAAATGTATAATGTCTTGAAAGAATGAGGGTTTGCTTGTTTTTTTTTTGTCCAACAGAGAAAAATATACAATTGAGGTTTATGGGAAAAATGGCAGAGCGTCAATTCTATGAGGGAAAATTCACTAAAACTGTCTACACCTCTTTGGTGCAACAGGACTTAATGACTTCATTTTTTCCCCAGAAAATTCCATCTTGCCGTATCTGAACTAAATAAACCTTATGATTTGCTTTAGCAACAGGCTCTTAGATTATTCCTGTGTACGATAACTTTGAAACGGCGCCGGCGTGCCGCAGTGCTTCAAGCTACTATTTTGCCACTGAAGTGTTGTACAGTATCATACGAGATTGAAGGCACCCCGACATTTCATGATTGATGGCATCAAAAGCACAAAGTTCCCTCGCAAATTAAATTGAGTGACGACGACAAAAGGAGAGCAGTAATCAAAAACTTACTACGTCCTAGTATCCGTATTCAATAACATTTAGCATGATTTTTTAACTTCATTAGAGGAAAAAGTGACTTGATTCAAACAGATATATGCTCAAGTTTACCACAGAGAAGATTTCCTTTAAAATCAATAAAAAAAATAATGCTCGTTTCCGGAAGAGAAGACGCTTGTATAAAAAGAAAAGTCACTTATATCGACTGCTCTCATTCAGCAATTTTATTCTTGATTCAAAATAAAATCTTCTTGATAGCATAGTCACGAATGTTTCTGCCTAAATTGAATCACTTTTTTCTCTAATGAAATTCAAAATTTATGGTAAACATTATAAAATACCGATGCTAAGTCTTAATGAGTTTTTGGACTACCGCTCTCTTTTTGCGCCGTTGTACCTTGATTTATTTTGCGAGGAGAGCTCTGAGCTCTTAAAGGATGCCTGCCACTCTTAACATGTTGGAGCGCCTTCAATTTCGTATGATACTTTGCAACACCTCTATTGTGAAATAGTTGCTTGAAGCGCCGCGGCACTCCGCGGCGTGGCGGGCAACCAGCGTAACACGCGCATAGGCGAAGGGGGCGATAGGGATACTTCACGCATTACGCAATGCGTGAAGTATCCCTATTAGGTTTGTAGGCGCCAGTGCGCGTTTTGCGCTGGCAGCACGCCGCTCTGCAGTGTTTGGCTCTAATATTTAAACTCGCGGAGTCAGCGTTTTTCAACTCATGATTTCGAAATGTTTGCAGACCCTGCATGGAATATTCTCATTTAAATTGAAGGAAAAAAAATATGTAAGAAGATGAAGTCATATTTTCATTTAAAAACAAGGGGAAAAAGGTATATATGAGGTATATTTTATATCAAAAATTTTAAGGATAGATATGAAACCAAATTTCCACAAATGATTATTTGAAAAGATAAATCAAAAGAAGAAAGTAAGATTTCATTTCAAAAATGAGTTACCTTGACGACACCACTTTCTCTCTTAATTTTCACATTTCGATATTTTCAATATAATTTTACATACATACTAAAATATAACACTTGGACCAAGTCACTGTTGCCTAATTTACGCAAGGACGTAAACTACTGGACAAAACAGGTGCGAGGACAAAAAATCATTGACAGAATGTCCTGAAACCAGAGAAGCTTGTTCGTGACAGTTAGTTTTACAAACAAAAGTTGATATTAAGGTTCAAGATTGCCTAGAATGTTCACCGCTGACAAATTCGGGAATAACTGTTCCTAGCAGGCATGAAAAATTTGCAGAACAGCATGGTGAAAACCCTCTGCACAAAAGGCCCATAACTGAGACAACTTTGGCCCGGGGTTGCTGAAAAAAAATTGGTCGATACAACCTGCCTGATGGTAAAAATTTGAGGCTTACAGCCTTATCTTTATAATTAGAACCATTAAAAATGTGAGCTCTAGAATCACGCAGTTTACCATCCATGTGAGTTTTAAATCGACCAATATGATTACGTCAGTAACTTGAATATCCTCAGTTTGACTGCTTTGCTTACACTGTGTTTATTTATTTGATTCTTCTGTTCTTTTGGTTAATCAAGTCATTTAGAGGAAATACTAAAAGCGCAGAATGTGGACAACCTACATATTTAGATTAACCTCTGGCAGTTTAGATAGATCAAAAGACTCTCTGTCTTTGATTGCAGTACTTTATTGTGCAAGGGGACTGAGGCGATCAAAAATTTATTATCTCCCTATTTCGAAAACCCCTCATTAACCCAAATTTTTCCAATAAAATGATTTCTGCATCCTTCCTCCCCATCATATAAATTATTCGCAATTTTTTATCAACCCTTATCAGTCTTTCAATTTTTACCACTCAGACATTCTTAGGCATCGTATACAAGTGACGGGGCTGAGTGATTTCTACACCTCTGGTTGGCTGAATTTCAGAGATCGATATTTGTTTTAAAAGGCGGATAGTATTGAAATTAAAATTCACAATCAACAATTTTACTTTGCGCCAGTCACAGATATTTTTGCAACCTAAAAACTGGAGTTGAGGATCAGAGAGTCGTAACTAGATTTTCTCACTGTCACAAGAAATCAGGGAAATACCATGCAACTATTCTATTGCTTGTAGTGTATTCTGGAAAATTGAAAATCCTGTATTTGCCTTATTAGGGCCTGGTGTTAGATATCAAAGCAAATTTTTTCCACACTTACATATCCTTCACTAGGTATGTCTAGAATTCTAAACAACTCCATTTTTCGAAAATTGCTATTTACGTTTCTCTGGCTCTTTACTGAAAATATGAATCCATACAAGGCATGAATCAGTTTCTCTCTTGTGCATATTAGATCATATAAAAAAATTAAACTAAACTAGCCTACTGCCATTCAATTTTACATGCTACAATTAGCAAATCTGGTCGACGACTGCTAGATGAGAGGACTCTTACCTCGTTCACGATAAACGTTGAAGACTGAGTCGACAAAGGATTGCTGACTGGGCAGAGATCGATGCTCATCCAAAAGCCATAGCAGACCAGGAGTGCTGTCGGATTGCCTCAGGTCCAACTGAGAACTGCGCATTGCAAGAGACAAACTAGAGTTGTTGCTTGGAATGTTGTCCAATATGTTGACAATGCCCTCTGGAGAAACTTCATCTGTGTCATCACAGATCACTTCAATTTGTTCCTGCACAAAAAAAGGTCATAAGAGTACAATTCATCAAAAAAAGAAAAGAGTTTAACGGCTGGATGTCAAAAGAAGTATGACCATTTAAGAGAAAAAAGACGGGAAGCAAACTCATACAAGAGAGTTTGCTACCACCAAATTAGGGAGTATTTGACAAATACATTAGAGTAACCGAAGCTGGAAGAACTGGCGAAGCCAAATCAAATGGGATGATTTGAAATTTGCTATTTACAAAACGGTACTTTGAGTAAAATCTTGATTAAAATTTCAATGTTTCATATTCAAGGCTTAAAACTATTAGATTAAAATGCAAATTGCTTGAATATAAAAGAAACCATAAATGGCTTGTTCTTTAAAAATTTTCCCTTGAAAACTAAAAATACTAAAATTTGACTTGATCTGTGAAAAAGGACTTTATCTCCACGGAAATGTTTCTTTCACTTTTGACAATGCATTAAGAAAGAAAATCTTTAAATTTTGGTGCTAGCTTTACCCTAAAATCTCAAAAATTAGAGGAAATAATAGTCCTGAAGGTCCCAGACAAAAATTCTTGGGTTGTAGAGAAACATGGTTTCAGTGTTTGCAAAAAGTTGCGGAGATTTGCTCGTGGGAGATAAGGTCCCTCTGCACAGATCAAGTCAAAATTCTCGACCCAGTCTGATAATCAACATTCTTGAATATTTTCCTTTATGCGTTAGAGCTGCAGACCCTAAAGGCAGACCACAGAAAATTTCTGAGGCATACACCATCCACCATTAAACAAATGAAAAAAATTTACTTTGAATTATACTGTTTTTAGATTTCTGTTTACTTCTCAGTATCAATACGTCTTAGTTTAATACATTATTTTTCATAATTTTTGTTGATTTTTAAATCATTTTTTGTAAGCAATATTCTAATACTTTCTTAATTCTCTTTCCAAGCCAAAGTTCAAGACTCCATTAACATATTAGCTGCTACTGACTTGTGATGCGTAAGTTACAGCTAGATTAGTGAAAAAAAATAAAAGCATCATCCTCATAAAAGGAGGCATGTAAGGGTTATAACAGATCATGGGAGGCAAAACATACCTGCGTATATCTATCCCTGGTGGCGACAAGTGCAGTATTGTGGAAGAGCAACTGCAATCTTTCTTGGAGGTAGTTGAAACAGAAATCTTGGAATGTTGCGCCATTCTGCTGCCCACAGGAAGCCGGATTTTGGAATCCAGGACAATCAAAAACTAAAATTGTGTTGACAGTATGCGTACCAACTGACAAATGCCTAAAAATAAACAACAATAAAAACTATTGATAAATTTCAAACTGACATTCTCAGTAGGGTCATTAAGTCTGAATCCAGGGATTTTTTGTATTTTTTGGAAATTGCTTTCAATTATAGGGGATTTTCAGATATTTTCTGCACTAAGACTCCCCTTAAAATGTGACATCAGTAAACACAAGGCATTCATCTACTTCTTTGTTGAAGGAAGCTTTTTATTCCACAACTATATATCGACGGTGTAAGTCGGCAATCACATAACTCGGTTTGCGGCGTCGCAGGCTTCCTGTCATGCTTTATTTTTTAAACGGGAAAACTACTCAACTCTTTAAAACTGCCGTGATTTTTCCTTGCGGTGCGAAGAAAATTCTGCAAAAACTTCAAGGAATAATGTCAATTTGTTCTCCTTTAAAAAAATACATAATAGAGGCGGAGATTTTCAGACACCGCGAACGAGTTATGTGATTGCCGACTTGCACCGTCCATATATACCAAACGCCTTTGGATTCTAGATTTTTGCGTGTTAGGCACGGCAACAGTGCTACTTTTCCAAAGAAAAGTACCTATAAAAGCACTAAAAAAAGGCTATTCTGCCTAGATTGTATCCAGAAACACAAGTAAAAATTTAATCAGTTTCACAGCCTTTTGAGCTTAAAGGGCCACTAAGAATATTACATCGAAAAATAACAAGATTCAACTAGTGACAAATTCTATTGATTTTCGTGTTTCATTCTTCAGAAATTAAATAATTTTTTTCGGAAATAAATTGTTTGAGCCAAATTTTATAGAAATATTAATAATTATCAAACTTTCCCAGAGAAGAAAATAAATACAAAATTTTCACAACCAAATATGCAGTTGATCGTTGCCAAAGAAAGGAGAGGTGCAAAAAAATTGGGAGGCAGTAATGCTATATATTTCTTATTTTTCTGGGGGTATAAAATTCAATTTGAGTAGTGTACACGTAAATCTTGTGATTTATGCGAGCTTCACCTGTTGATAAGAGCAGCGACAATGTTGAACACTTCTGAGTAAAGGCCGATGACGAATCCATCCAAAGCATCTTGGCCGGTCCAGTCGTCAACTGCAGGCGAGCGGTTCCCATAATCTGAGCCAGGACTAGAGCTGTGATATGAAGATCTGTTGCTGGTGGGTGTTGATACTGTGGGTGCGAATATTATCCTTGAGAGTTCCTCAACAGTTGTGCCGAGACATTTGGCAGCTCGGTGAGCAGCGATTGGGGAGTTGAACTGCCATCTGCTGCTAGTACTACCTGTTGGATGATCAAAACTCAATGTTAGTTATCACTTTGAGGAAAATCCTGACAATGGACCACTAGACAAGGTGTGAATTTAAGCAATCTGATACATGTTTCTTAACTAGAATTTCACGCAGAATACAATTCGAGAAATGAAAATTACTGAAACCAACTCCTAACAAAGATATTAACGTTTTTATTTCACAATGCAAAAAAGGGATTTGAACTGCCCGCTTTTTGAACTCAAAGTTCTACTTGAGTCAAATCGCACACTACAATGGTTTCAGCAAGCCCCTCAATCAAGCAAAGTTCATTTCCCACCATGTGTTGTTTAAACATAAGCAATTTGCTATCGCTGAGCCAAAGCGTCAAGATCGAGGTTGCCAGATTTTTATATTGCAGGGATTGCCATGAAAACGTCTAGCGCACGATGTGAATCACATGGAACATTGAGTTTTCATGAGCAGGTGGTTTGAATTCACGCATCAAGAATCATTAAATATCTTTGTAAGGAGTAGATTTAAGTAATTTCCGTTGTGCGCATCGTGTTTAACATGAAATTTTTGTTAAGAAACATGTATCAGAATGCTGAAATTCATACCTTGTCCAAAGGTCCATTAAAGGTTAGAGCATAGTCCTCCATCTGCATAAAAAAACTTATCGCAAACTTTGACAAAAGCAGTTCAGTGAAGTGAATACAATGAGCTCAGTTAAAACTAATTTAGCAAAACAAAAATTAAGTTATCTCATAACTAGACACAAATTTACTTAAAGTTTGTAGAAGAAGGCATATGATGAAAGTTTACCCATAAAATTGAAGGGCTTTACGGTAGGGTGATGAGACAGTGTTTTAACAAACATGACTTCTGACTTATTCAGAAAACTCTTGAGAGGGGAAAAATTCATTGCAACAAATTCATTCATTCATTCATTTTCTATACAATGGGAGTAACGACCCACTGAATCCGTCATTTTTAAAAGAATTCAAGCACCATAAAATAAAAAATGAGTTGCATGTGATTTTTTATTGCTGATACGCAGATATATCTTCAGGAGAGATGTACAAAATGATTGATCATATGCTTACTTCGGTGCATGTAAAGAAGGAAAGAACCTAAGAATGTGAAGAGAGAGGGGGGCAAATCTTTAAGGGTCAAAGCTATGTATGTTTTTATCTCAGTCCGCAAAGAAATTCCTGATACTAACGCATCACAATCTATGGATCTGCACGAAATAATATGCAAAGAATTATAATTACTACAGAAGAGAGAGGGTCATCATTGACTGGGTTTAGTTTCTACTCCTGATTAATTGATCATTTCAAAATAAGGAAAAGACAACAAAAATTCCCCTGATTTCTACATAACATACTTGAGCAGAGAACTTTTTTAATTTTACGGGCCCTTTCACAATTTCTTCCTGCGAAATGAAAAACATTGAAAAGTTGTGCATGTATGATTCAAACAAGAGAGAACCCTACAAATTGTGATCTTTTCGACATTTTTCCACGACTTATGATCTTTTCACACATTTTTTAATTTTTTTACGGCTAATCACTTGAAATTGAGGTCTTCCAATAGTTCTTCCCTCTGAGTTAAGTTTCCCCCAGTTTTGGTTAGATAATATAAATGTGGGAAAGCCTTGGCAATGCCCTACTCAAATGATCTTTCACAAACGACGTCCTTTTTACTCTTGTCTATTTTTACTACTTTTCACTGGGGAGAGGAAGTCTATTCAAAGCTTTACAGTCCCCCTCCTCCCAAATTATAAGAGTGAATGAATGGCGACTGAAACCTAGATGTTACACTCTTTTTTCGAATACTCAATGATTTGTCAAACTATTTGCTACATCCAATTTTCTTGAATGGAAAATCAGGAGATCCATTGCGCAGTAAAAGCAATGTTTAATGCTAACGGACGAAAACACAAAGGAAAAGTTACCTTTAGCAGCACCTGCTGCACCAAGGTGTAAGATGGCTGCTAAAACGGAGAATATAATTTTATTTTCTAGTTCCGAAACGCCAAGCTGCATTAATGATCCATACACCATTTTGAACAAGCCCGCTTGTTGCACTTTATCTTCATTCTGAAAAGAAATTCAACACAATTAGGGCATCCATGAAACTTTGAGAACTAAAATGAACGAGTCAATAATAAATTTTTTAAATGTAATAATGTATGATTAAATTTTAAAGATCTGAAAAATTCAGACTGTCAAGGATTGAACGATCTCATTTTTGTCCTAATCATAAAAAATTACCAGTTTACTATATCCAAAGCTTTGTTGTCAATCAAAATTGTTTTGTCAATCAACGATCGAAAAAATATGTAAAAAGAAGGAGAAAATTCCAACATGAATATGTTAGAAAAGCGTGTCGAATAACTGGAATGTTAGAAACACACTATTTTCATGTCGTTGCTACTTGTACCAATTGGCACTCTTGGCTAAATTTGAAAGAAAATATTGATTCATGAATGTTGAATGTAAATTAGTTTTAAAGATTCCGTCCAATTATGTATTAACACAGAGGTAGAAAGACACCTCTGATATTTTCCAACACTTAATGACAAATGGAAAAATCAAATTAAGAGGGTGTTAAACTTCAGATAGATCTTTTCAGAGGTTTGCAAATAATACAGCAACACTTTTGAACATTAAAAATTGAAGAAATATAGATGTATGAAAAAACTTTGCCTATACCTGATAGTGATAATAGTCATTGTTATCTGTATTGAAACATATTGTTAGTGAAACTCTCAAAAACGTATCTTGGTTTGCTGTACGGCAGACTTCTTCTCATAGTTTATTTTATAAATGGAGAACTGTTCAACATCAATTTTTAAAAAATTACGTGATTATTCTTCTCGGTATAAAGCAAAATTAGAAAAAACGTCAAGGAACGATATCGACTTTGAAAAAACTAAAATAGGGGCGGAGATCTCTTAACACTGCAGACGAGATACAGGGTGTGGAAGTTCCACTGTCGAAATGAACTAACTCATGCTAAAAAATTCCAGTTTTCGCTTCAACAGTGGAAAATCTTTAATACTGAATGGTGATTCATTTTATTTCAAATGCACTATAGCATACATAACCTAAGCAGAGGAATATGTTAAAAGTTTGAAAAAACAGAAAATACTAGATGTTTCTGTGAGTTCCCTTCCGGCAATATTGCTACAAATGAATAAGAGAGAATGGAGTGTTGAAAATCCTCAGATGTTTATGCTTCAGAAGTCTCCAGAATTAGAGCAGGAGGGTCCACAAAGAAAAGTAGTTGGTTTACAAATTGCTCTTTTACAACTTACCGAAACATTGAAATGAACATAAGGATTCGAATCGGTTGGATTCAAATCACCTAGCATGAGATCACGTCTAAGATTTCCCTCTGCTCCGAGAACCAGTCTTGACAAGATATGAAAAGTTCCTTCACCCTCTGGACGTCTTGCCACTCTCCATCGATCAAAAAGCATTGTCTAGACATGAAAAAAAAAAAAAGGTTCGTAGATTAAAACAAAATTATGCAACCACAGATAAAATACAGAAAGTGTGAATTAATGAGAGTTCAAGCGAAAATAAACGAGCTCTCTCCAAAAGAAGATGCTCTGCTTTCCCCAGTACCCTTTCCTCTTTGCTTTGCGTATTTTTCCTATAATTATTAACTTCACTGATAAATTTACGTTTTTCATGAATCACTTGTATCTAATTATTTGTAATTTACTTTACTGTTCTTTGTATTTTCTTTACTAAAATCACTTCACTAATATGAAGTTGTGTCATTCATAACTTGGGTCTTATGAGTTTTTTATTGGGTCTTCATTGAGTCAGACTGCTTGATTGGTTGTCAGAGGCTGCAAGGAGTACCAATAACTTGATGTCAATGTTATCCAAATCATGAAACTTGATCAACCAATGACATAATTCCATTCCAGCTCTGTCTAAAAAAACACTGAGAAGAGAGATTCAAACAAAGTTGAAAAACTGGCAAAAATAATAAGTGGTCGAATCAGAAAGTAAAGTCAGCAAACTAGGACAAAATAAAAGTTCAAAAATTTACCCGTTTTTGAAACTCATGATTTGTGGAAACTGATGATGGAGAATAATTACCTGAATAGACGCTGAGGCTATTTGACCTGATTGATCGAAATCAAGACTAAATAGATGAGCAAAACAGGTGGCGCTATTATTCAAAACTGTCTTTGCATTACCGAAGGCCTCAAGGACAGTCCATATGGAATTTAATTTTTCTAGAGTTAAAACCTGAAAGAGAAAAAAAATAACTGCTTTTTAGTATCACCTCTTAAAAGTTCAATTTCGATATAGAGCCTCTTTTAAATGAATATTTCCTATTTTAAGATAAGGAAATTCATAATTTGTTCGACAACTAAAGCTAAAAATGAAATACTCATTGTAAACTAGGTATACCTCTTACATGCACAGAGGTGATTTAAAAAGTGCCCAAACTAGCTCTGTAATTCAAAACCTTAGCTAGCTAGAGGCCAGATATATTGTTTTTATTTGAGAAATTAACTCAAAAAATGTCAAATGAATCCAAGATTGATTCGTTTAGTTAAAAATTAACAAAGTTAAAGTCCTGCCGCAACCACCATGGGGGCAGAAAAATTCTGCATGACTTGGAACCACAAGCAGAAAAATATTGGCATTCTGAGAAAAATCCTGTCACAAAAAATTTCATTTTTTGACGGATTCTAATTGTCTAGGGAAAAATACTCCTTTTGTCAAAACATCGATTAATAATGTCAAGTAAAATTTCAGTCGTAAAGAATAAAGTTTCAGTAAAGAGAAAAAATCTATTCTCCCTCCTTTTTTCAACAGGAAGATTTGTCTGATCGAATGTAATCTCTAGAATGAATGACATCAGAACTTTTTTCGTGGCACATCATAGAGAAAGCATAATTACAGGGCGATAATGTCCAGCCATTGTACAATTGAAGGGTGAGAAGTCGGAGGGGTCCCACAGAATCATCGACCAACAACCCCAAAAATGACAATTTATTGCCCAAGGTTTGATGTCACATCTGTAGTAAGAGCGCAAGAATCACGCTAGCATCAACATCATCAAACCCATAGAATAGGTCAGTTGCGCTGGTCACAGAATCGTGTTTTGATGCTCAGTTATTGTAGATTAGCTAAACATAATAAGATCTGTTCAAACTGCAACTTTCTACATTCAATATTAACCGAGATATCGCCCATCGAAAAGTCGGGTTTTTGACGTCATCTACCACGGAAGTGACATCCTTGGTTCCTTCCACCTTGTTTTCATCCAAGTTTCACATTGAGTAAGCAGTGCATCACTGACTGATGAAAGCAAAATGGAAGAAACCACGAGTGTCACTACCGCAGTGGATAACTTCCCGATTTTCCGAAGGATGGTATCTCGGTGAATATTTAACGTAGAAAGTTGCAGTTTGGACAGATCTCATTATTTTTAGCTAATCTGCAAGAATCAAGCATCAAAACACGATTCTGTGCCCAGTGCAACTGACCCATTGATGCAATTGATGGATACTGATTGGCATTGTGTGGATTACCGCACAGATAATGTCTCGCTTGTTTTAATATAGATATACGTCAGAAGAAGTGCAAAATATCACACTCAGGTAGCCCTATGATGTTTACGTAGGAAATATGACTGCACTGAAACGTACCTTATTATTTGCACCAGCCACAATAGTTAAATATTTGATGACATATTTATAGTTGATTGTTTTACCACTTCCTGCTCGGCCTAAAAATACAATGGAATGATCTCGACGAAGAGACAACATGCTATGATACGCTGACTGAGCTACTGAATAAATGTGTGCAGGCATATCAGCAGACTTGCATCTCCGAAATAAATGAGCAACCTGAAAAAAATAAAAAAGAGAGAATTAGATGTTCAATTTGAAGAGACAAATTACTTCACCTACCGATAATTGATAAATATCACAATATCAGTGGTTGAGTACTTTTTAAAACTATGAATTGAAATACTTGTTGACTTGACTTACCTTTTTTTACTCTTAAAATGACACACCTGGCATACCTTAAAATTCTAAATTTGACTTAAAGGCTTTGCACTTAAGTGACTTAGCACAGTAAAATACATCTTGGTCTTATAAGACTCAGAGGAAACGAGTTATAATGATGATATCATGCATACGTAAAAAGATGTACAAAAATTTTGGTCCAAAAATCTCTAACAACGTCAAACAAATCTGGTATACTGACAATTTAAAGTTCCCAAATTTAAAAAAAAATGTATTCCTGAGAGAAAAGGGATTTAAATTTTTAAATGCCATAGAGGGGTTTAATATTTTTCAACTGCACATGGCATCAAAAAGAAAGAAAATAAAACTCATATCACTCATGGGATACTAAGATCGTTTTCCAATGAAAACTTAACCAATATATCAAGTTTTTGATCCGATTTCATACAAATCGATTTCTTGCTAAACCTTTCAGGAACAAATGCCTTTTCCCCAGGGTTGACTGAATATTGAAGATTTTTTTAAAAGAGTGATTTTATGATATTCAAAGAAGTGTAATTACATGAAAAATCTTGCTCACTGCATCAATCAAACACCACGCAATGGAGGCTTAAAATTAAGGCAATGAGAGCCAATGGATGAAAGACCAAAGAAAAGTACCTATAATGGGCCATTTTAAATAAAGCCTATGCATATATCATGAATTCTTGTTAAATTAAGGTACAGAGATCCTTATTTTTTGGTAGATATAGGCTAGAGTCTCTTGACAAATTGGATATTTAAGTGGCATGGCCACAAAGGTGAACTTGGGCAAACAAAACATGGATCCTTCTAAATTTTTGCAAATTAGTATAACTTTTTTATTAGCAAAAAAGCAAAAATAGTCCTCAGCAGTCAGAATGTACCAACCAGAGGAATGTGAACACTTGCGTTGCTGTGAAATTTAAAGGAGTCTTGGGCGGTTTTTATCACTGCTTCCCATTACCAAGCTCTCCAGATCTGCTCATACCATTCAAACGTCGTATCTATTTAACATCAATGGCTGAAGTAAAAAATTTGTACCTTAGTTTCTGACTTAGTGAGTCCCCGCCAATGTTTTATATTTTTTTAAGGAAAACTGGACGTATTTATGCTAAATGGAACTATATGCAAGTGGAAAGATGGGGTGTGCTTGTTAGTTGAGGGGCATAAGAATAAATGGGACTTTTAAAACGCCAGTGACGTCAGAGGCAACGATCGTGACCGGGTGGGACGAGGAGATCGGTGGCGGGACTCTTTAACTTATGAGTCCTGTCCACAAGGCTCTTGTCAGATGCCCACGGGACACAAGTTAGCACTCAGTTCCTTTTGATTAAATTAAAAATTCCGCTTTTCCATTTTCTCACAAGAAACTATAGCCAATTTTACAATGTTTCTTAGGCAGCTTCCACGAGCACATAGTTCCTTTTAGCATAAATACGTCCAACTAACAATTTTATTTCTATTGAAATTTTCTTTGAATCTACCTACATCAATTATTTTAGAAAAATCTAAAAAAATTGAGAGGAAACATTTGCATAGAATCTCTCAAATAAAATAAACCACTGTTAGAAATACTTTGACTTGAGAATTGAGATACTTGTTTTCCACCTTCAGCCATTGATATGTTAGAGTTCCTAAACCATACGCAAAGGTCTTTCTTCAAACCTATCGATGTGGATGTGCTCTTTTGCTTAGTTCTATACAAATAAACAACATACCTTCTCAGAATAGATGGCAAGCGGGACAGCAGGATTCATGATGAGCATTGTAAGTCCAGCGTAAGTGTGTATGAGGTTGGCTGCATAACGCTGCCGTAGAGTATGAAGGACGCTTGATTCGTTCAGGAACCTCAGTTGGGCCAGATCTTCTGATCTATCGTATTGCGGTGGGTTAGCCTGAAAATAAGCGAGAATGACAAATAATATAAAATGAAGGGAGGTTGAAGAACAAGTGGATCGCATTTAGCAAAAAGGAACCAGCACAATTACAGTGTTGTAAAATTGTTGCCTCTTCATAATTATCGAAAAAATCTCCCAGAATAGCAGATAATTTTGGCTTCCCACCAAAAAATTGTTAATTTTAGAGGAAAATAATTCTGTAAATTTTATTACTGTACATACATTAAGTATTTTTAAAAGAAAATGAGAAGTTGCACCATTTTGAAAGCACTGTCATTGCGCTGGTTCCTTTTTGCTTAATGCAATCCAAGAGTGCTAGGAAGTTTTGTATTTTGAGAGAACAAATTACTACCAGATAATGTAAAATTGATGAGCCCAACTAAGATTTTCATTTTCCGTTTTGAAGTCTTGGTTTTCGATTGACTTTGATGTCCGTTAATCTTCAGATTTTCATGGAGTGTTGATGACATTTTCATGATGATAATTGGACTGCATTTTGCAATTAAGAACTATAAATTCCGGAACGGTTTAAAAACAACGTAAGTGTCGTTAGTTTCCCTATCCACATAAAAGTTTTTTCAGATGAGCCAGAATTTATAGTTCCAAGTTGCAAAATGCAGTCCAATTCTGAAGTATTGCCTCGTTTCGATCAGTGGGCGAGTTAAAAAATGGGTCAGTGACACCCATTTCTTTCAATTGATTTTCTGGAGGCACAGGGTGAACTAAGCCTCCAAGAGTTTCTCCAGATTTAAACCCTGAATGGCAAAAAGACTCCGTTTAGGAAATGCCAAAAATGAGGCCCGTTTGAAATGATATTTGTGGTGGGCTCTGATGATGACGTAGTCAAGCAGGGAAAACAGTGTTTGATGATCGGCTGATCTCAGCTTAAGGCATCGGCTTGCTACGTCAACTCGACCCTCGATTTTGGAGTGGTCAGATTTTCCTTAGCTTTTTCCCCCTTTAAGATCGCACCTCTGTTGCCATGAGTCTAAAGAATGCATGTACCAAATTTGACAAATAAATTCAACGTAATAAAGATGTGGTTCTTAGAGGAAAACTATCGCATTCGATACCGATATCGAAACTGCACTCGGATGTGATATTTTTCCTCTGAAAAAAAAAACTGCTTTTAATACGTTGAATTTCTTTGTCAACTTTGGTACATGAATTCTTTAGACTCCTGGCAACGGAAGTTCAAAATTCGAAAAAAGTGGAAACGCACCTTCTCGAGATCGTCCTCGTCGACGGAGTACTCCTCGTTGGTGGAGAGGACGGAGACCCGGATCTTCCCGGTCCCGACGCCGGTGGCGAGGTCGTCCATGGAGCCGGACTTTCCGGGCAATTTCGTCACCGCGGTGAAGCCTCTCCGGTGGACCAGCCAATACCTCTCTTGCTCCAGCCATGCTCGGTCGTTCGCCAACTGCTCCTCAGATTTCGCCTGGAACACAAAAAGAGAGTCAAGTTAGACCCAAAGAAATAAGAGCCAAGACCCGAAGGATGGAATCGTCATTGGTTAAGAAGACCATATTTGAAAACACAAAAAATGACAGACTTCGTGATCTGTAAATTGCGGCACACGAAAAGAAAATGTTCAATAGGCACATGCTCGCTGCACAAAAATCGCCTTCAAAATAATGGCTATGCAACCTGTCGACGGTGGTGTTCGAATAGTTATCGTCCCACGGTTTGCAGAACCTATCACGAGAAAATTCTCGATGGGCACATGTTCGCTGCACAAAAATCGCCTTCAAAATAATGGCTATGCAACCCGTCAACGGTGGTGCTCGAATAGTTATCGTCCGACGGTTTGCAGAACCTACCACAAGAACATTTTCGATAGGCACATGTTCGCTGCCTACAAATCGCCCTCAAAATAATGGTTATACAACCCGTCGACGATGGTGTTCGAATAGTTATCGTCCGACGGTTCGCAGAACCTATCACGAGAAAATTCTCGATGGGCACATGTTCGCTGCACAAAAATCGCCTTCAAAATAATGGTTATGCAACCCGTCGACAGTGGTGTTCGAATAGTTATCGCCTGACGGTTTGCAAAACCCATCACGGCATTTAACCTACAACAGGGAACGAGAGTTCAGTTAGAAACTCTGTGGAAAAAACTAGAGTCCCTTTATACTGAGAGTCAAGACAATGTGAATCCATTTCTGATTGGTTACCGTATTTTAGGCCTTCACAGTGTCACAAACGGGAATAAAGATTACATTTTCATCGATTGCAAAGATTATAATCTGGAATGGACCAGGAAATTACGGGTTCGACAAGGAACAAACGGAATGAGAGAAGGAACGGAGAAAGGAATTTGAGAATGGACCGATCAAAGATTACAAAAAACGTTCAGTTTCTGTAATCTTTATTCCCGTTTGTGACTCCATGAGGGGGTGTTGTCTTGACTCTCAGTATAAAGGGACTCTAGAAAAAACCTTACCACGAGCAAGAAAGCCGAGACGCGAACGATGGAATCGTCATTGGTTAACAGAATCATACCTAGGAACACAAAAAATGACCGATTTCGTGATCCGTCAATTGTGACGAACGAAAAGAAAATAATGTTTCTTTTTCCTCCTTTATCGGGTTGTATCAGCATAGTACTCACTTTTCCTTTTTCGCCCGATATGAAAACACGATGGCCATTTAACATCGGGCAAAAAAGGAAAAGTGAGTACTATGAAAGGAAAATTACCGACAGGCACATGTTCGTTGCACAAAAATCGCCGTCAAAATAATGGTTATGCAACCCCTCGACGGAGGGGTTCGAACAGTTATCGCCCGACAGTTCGATTTAGCCTGCAACAGAGGACGCGCGTCCACTTAGAAACTTAAGCCGGTAAAGTCCATTGCCACGGATAATGGATAAAAAAGCGAGGACCGAACGAGAGAGACCCGAAAAAATTCAATAGTCATTGGTAAAAAACATCATGGGAATGCAAGAAACGAATTCGTGGGTCGCGACAAACGAGAGAAAAATGTTTACAAGGCGTATGTTTTCCTTAAGTCGCTGCACAAAAATCGCCTTTAAAATAATGGTTACGCAACCCATCGACGGTGGTGTTCGAACAGTTATCGTCCGATAGTTTGCAGGACGTCCGATTTAGGGCCGATTGTAAAACCTCTGGTCAGGTGCTTGGTAAAAAGGTGGTTTGAGCTGACCAGAGGTAGGTGTGTACGACTCCTGGTTTTCTTCAAGTCAAATCCCGGTCAGCCTTTGTTCTTTCTCGCAAACCAGTGGTTAGGTTGATTAGCAGATTGACAGCTGCTCGCTCAGCGTCTCACCACTGGTTTGGTAACCGGACGTTGACTAGAGATCTTACAGACGGCCCTTAGCCTGAAACAGAGGACGCTAGTCCACTTGGAAACTCAATCCGGAAAGACTTTACCACGGATAAAAAAGCGCACAATGTAGAGGATTTTAGACTTCTTGTCAGTCATCATGTATATTTTATCCTCATCGAATCTGCATCATTTTCCTTAAAAGTACATGTTTTAACCGGGGAAATTCGGCAACTGGCGAATGCGCATAGAGCGTTCTTCCTTGGTACGGGGGCATTGTGAGGTGGCTGTCTACTGTCTGGAGACGGATCGTCATAAAATTGATACTGCGACAAAATACGAGAGCAAACTTGGCAAGTGCTCGAGTACATCGCCGGTCGGCGCATCGCGTCGTCGTGTCGCATTCGCATGGCGATGCGAGTTGTGAATGAACTCGCGACGGCAGTCACAACTCGACGAGCGAGGGAGAGAGGAGATGCGACGTCTCGTCAGAGGGAGAGAGAGGGCAGGCAGATGCGCACCGCGGGATGGCGATGGATGGAAGGTCATGAACCTAGGTTCCCGCGCCACCGCCGCACGGTGGGTCGAGTCAATAGGAGAGGTCGGACAAAATCTGGAAACTTAAACCGCTTATAACTCCATTTATACAAAACTTCGAGGTTCTAGAAGTGGTTTCATTGGTTTCCTCGTGAAATTGTCTTCGGAAAGCACCCCTAAAAGTTTGAAATCTGACGAGGTAAACACCAACATTTGCAGTTTTAGTCAACAATTCCATGTTCAACTTCTTCCAAAGAATCGTTCCACTGTGCGCCGCGTCAGCTGGCAGCTTTCCTAGACTGCACTGCCTAGACGAGCCGAGTCAGCGAGCTCAGCGCGCAGCGCGTTGCCGACCTAGGCAAGGACGGACTCCAAGAAGAGGGGAGGGGGGGTGATGAAGTTGTCGCGATGGTTTTCCGTCGTCGATACCAGTGGCAAAGTATCCGCGGCTATAGGAAGAAATGGAGCGCGTTCAGCAGAAAGGAACCAAACTATATCGGCTAGAACTGGGGGGAAAAAAAGAATAGACAAAAGTCACATCAGTCTGAATGCATCGATCATCGGTTGGCCCATTGGTTGGCATGTAAATATCTGTTGAATGGTGCGATTTTTGGATATGACATTTGTCTGGTCGTTTCTTTCCCCAGTTCCATTGCAAAATTCACCTGGGCGATTTAGTTTTATTACCAGAGAACTCATGTGCAGATTTCTTTGAATATTTTAAGGGAACTTGCTTCGTATGATGCAAAAAATGCCCTCTTATTTGCACAAAAATCCGCACAACCGTTTTTGAAAAATAAAAAATAAAAGGAAATTTAAAAAAACAGAAAATTGTTAAATTTTAGAAGCCTCTAATATGCAATTTAAGTCAATTTCGTCACGAATAATTACCAAAAGTGAGCGTCTTTCCTTCTTGTTTCCTCCGTTCCCTACTTCTTTCCTACTTCTCTTTTTTTTGGGCATACGCCCCCTCCGCATCTGCGTCCTTCTTAAATCCGCTTATGCTTAAAAATATCGAAATTTCGAGTCAAGTGGAAAAATCAGGGTGTGTCAGGAAATTTGGATCTCTCAGAGTACTAGGATTTCCAACACGTTTCCCAGAAACTGTGTCACGGAACAAAACAATGCCAATGATACCATTCTTCGGGATTATTTTATAGCCGATACAATGGTGGCGAGGAAATAGGGCGTAGTCATGAGTTTTTCCATGGTTCCATGGTTGGTTTCGGTAAAAAAAAAAATAAAAAAAAAGAAAGGAAAAAAAACCGACCTAAGTTTATAGGATTGCAAAAATTGGGGGAACCCGTGGAAAGTTAGGGAGTTGTGAAAATCCGGGACGGTAAGGGAAATTTCAGAGGGTCCCGAGTCGAAACTTTTAAAGCTTTCGACTCTCGCCTTTGATTACGAGTACCGCTGGGGTACAATATTATGTTGAGATGTTTTCTGGTTTTGGTAATCCAGAGATTTTCAGGACTCCTTGTTGGATAAAATGATCGCACAGACTCCGGTCCACTCCAGTTCACTGAGTTTCTTTATTACGACAAAATACTGTCCAAATAGACTACCAACTACATTGATAGGGACCACTTCTGCTGTGCTGAGAAAAAACGCCGTATGAACATTGAACATGCGAGGGGTGCCAAATTTATTTCGATAAAAAGTGTATTTTTGAGGAAAGTTATGAAGATTTTTTTATGAAATTTTCAGGAACTTTAGATGAAATTGTGAACAAAATTATCTGAAAATTCGAAAGTTAGTTTCTATAAGTTTACGAAGAAATTTGTGTTTTATAAAAGGAAATTTAGCTGAGTCTGAAGAGCCATTCGGTGTTTTTCCTTAGCATTGCAGACTCGGCGAATTCTGGATGCGCTGAAAACTCTCCTGGATCGAACAATAAGCAGTCGAGCGTCGAGCATCGAACGTTCGCCCTGCGTTGGAAACGGTTCGTGTGCTTCGGCTTTGAGTTCTATACGCAATTATTCCTCAAGAGCTGCTCCGAGCGAAAACAGAGCTCTCCACGCCAACACTTGAAACTTTCCAAGCCTCAACCACTGAGTTTATCCAGAGACAAGGATCCGTCTTCCAGCAAAATTTTGCCACTTGTCTCCTTTCGATGGCTCCTCACCATTTCACCTTAAAAAGTAAATCTAAAAAAATTTGCCTCTTCGTACTTGCTTCAGACATTCTTCCAAAAGTTGCCAAGAATATCTCAGTTATAATAGAATGCACCATGAAAAATGTGTTCATCTACTTCAAACTGAAAAATACTTGTCGCACTATTTACACTTGAAAAGGGAGTAATGGTGTCATTAAAATGTCAGATGACTTTTTGATGGGCCTGTTGCAAACTTTTGCAAGAGCAAAAATACGAGTTGTTTCTTATAGAAAATGCCTCAAAAATCACGATGAGCACATTGACAATGTCTGAAATGCACACCTAACTTCACTATCTGCGTAAGAAATTGCGGGTTTTTTTTGTTTTTGTTTTTTTTTTGTTTTGCTTCCGCTTCAAAAACCACACTACGGCACAGAAGAACATTTCGTTAGAGGAATCACTATATTCAATCCTTCCGCGCTCATCGTGATCTTAGAATCATATTCTAAAAGAAAGAA